ATTGAGGACATGTTATAGTCCAGACTAGATGTATACGGTTATATTGAGGACATGTTAATAGTCCAGACTGGCTGTATACGGTAACATTGAGGACATGTAATAGTCCAGACTGCTGTATACAGTTACATTGATGACGTGTAATAGTCCAGACTGCTGTATACGGTTATATTGAGGACATGTTATAGTCCAGATTAGCTGTAAACGGTAACATTGAGGACATGTTATATTCCAGACTAGCTGTATACAGTTACATTGATGACATGTAATAGTACAGACTAGCTGTATACGGTTATATTGAGGACATGTAATAGTCCAGACTGCTGTATACGGTTATATTGAGGACATGTTATAGTCCAGACTAGCTGTATACGGTTATATTGAGGACATGTTATAGTCCAGACTAGCTGTATACGGTACATTATAGACATGTAATAGTCCAGACTAGCTGTATACGGTTATATTGAGGACGTAATAGTTCAGACTAGCTGTATACAGTTACATTGATGACATGTTATAGTCCAGACTAGCTGTATACGGTTATATTGAGGACATGTTATAGTCCAGACTAGCTGTATACGGTTATATTGAGGACATGTTATATTCCAGACTAGCTGTATACAGTTACATTGATGACATGAAATAGTCCCGATTAGCTGTATATACGGTATACCCCGGTATTGAGGACATGTTAAAGTCCAGACTAGCTGTATACGGTTATATTGAGGACATGTTATAGTCCAGACTAGCTGTATACGGTTATAATGAGGACATGTTATAGTCCAGACTAGCTGTATACGGTTATATTGAGGACATGTTATATTCCAGACTAGCTGTATACAGTTACATTGATGACATGAAATAGTCCCGATTAGCTGTATATACGGGTATACCGTAAATCTGGAAATTTTTGCTGTAGATAAATTTTTAGCAAATTTGCGAGTTTATTGCATTCGCAGAAATATTTTTCTTAAAAATAAAATGCCAATAAGAAAATGTAAACAAAGCAGTGGTTCTTCGCAAAATTTTGAAACGTAAAAATTAATCAACAGCATTTTCATCCGAATTCGCAAAATAAAATCGACGTAAAATTTTCCAGATTTACGGTATTGAGGACATGTTATAGTCCAGACTAGCTGTATACGGTTATATTGAGGACATGTTATATTCCAGACTAGCTGTATACAGTTACACTGATGACATGAAATAGTCCCGAATAGCTGTATAAACGGTATACATATTGAGGACATGTTATAGTCCAGACTAGCTGTATACGGTTATATTGAGGACATGTTATAGTCCAGACTAGCTGTATACGGTTATAATGAGGACATGTTATAGTCCAGACTAGCTGTATACAGTAACATTGATGACATGTAATAGTCCCGACTAGCTGTGTACAGTTACATTGATGACGTGTAATAGTCCAGACTAGCTGTATACGGTTATATTGAGGACATGTTATAGTCCAGATTAGCTGTAAACGGTAACATTGAGGACATGTTATATTCCAGACTAGCTGTATACAGTTACATTGATGACATGTAATAGTACAGACTAGCTGTATACGGTTATATTGAGGACATGTAATAGTCCAGACTAGCTGTATACGGTTATATTGAGGACATGTAATAGTCCAGACTAGCTGTATACGGTTATATTGAGGACATGTAATAGTCCAGACTGGCTGTATACGGTACATTATAGACATGTAATAGTCCAGACTAGCTGTATACGGTTATATTGAGGTCACGTAATAGTTCAGACTAGCTGTATACAGTTACATTGATGACATGTTATAGTCCAGACTAGCTGTATACGGTTATATTGAGGACATGTTATAGTCCAGACTAGCTGTATACGGTTATATTGAGGACATGTTATATTCCAGACTAGCTGTATACAGTTACATTGATGACATGAAATAGTCCCGATTAGCTGTATATACGGTATATATTGAGGACATGTTAAAGTCCAGACTAGCTGTATACGGTTATATTGAGGACATGTTATAGTCCAGACTAGCTGTATACGGTTATAATGAGGACATGTAATAGTCCAGACTAGCTGTATACAGTAACATTGATGACATGTAATAGTCTCGACTAGCTGTGTACAGTTACATTGATGACGTGTAATAGTCAAGACTAGCTGTATACAGTTATATTGAGGACATGTAATAGTCCAGACTAGCTGTATATACGGTTATATTGAGGGCATGTTATAGTCCAGACTAGCTGTATAGGGTTATATTGAGGACATGTTATAGTCCAGACTAGCTGTATACAGTTACATTGATGACATGTAATAGTCTTGACTTGTTGTATACAGTAACATTGAGGACATGTAATAGTCCAGATTCAATGTAAGCAAATGCCAACAGATTTTAGTTGCCACAAAGCATCTTATGCCATAATAGATATGCACTCAATTCTTTTCTTAGTGTGTGAATCTCCATGCTGCTTGAGGTAGCTATAGGTAGCTGTGCTAACAACTACAGAAAGCTTTGTCGACTTCTAGACTGCTAGTGAAAGCTATGCTAATTTCTTGAGGTTGTTATAACAGCTAGAGGTAATTGTGCTATTTTCTGGAGGTAACTTTGCTTACTGCTTGAGGAAGCTGTTAACTACGAGAAGTAGCTTTGCTAAATGCTAGAGGCATCGATGCTAACAACAAGAGGTAGCTATGCTAGAGTAATGTATAGCTGTGGAGAAATATGACGTAGTAATGTACCCTAAACAAGCGCCTTGAGGATGTTTAAGGTCAAGGTTTGCAACAACACGTATAACCAGATGTGTTCTGTCTACATAGTGTTATAATGATGATTTTTAAATATCTTTTGGGGATATCATTTATATTACAAATGGCTCTGATAATCAAATTTAAAGCATTGTTTTTGTTTGTTTTACGTTCCTTTGAGAATTTTTCACTCACATTCAGACGCCACCACTTACGGGTGAATGACTGTAAATTTAAAGTTATACTCGGCACTTGGTGCCTTGGAGCAGTGGGGGTGTATTTTTCGTGCAAGCACCTACTGAACTTAAGTTTGTACGGTCTCATGAGAAGGAACCATCTCCAAGTCCCGCAGTGAATTTCAAGCCTCAACGTAATGAGATAGAAATTAATACGCACCAGAGTAGGTTTTTTTTAACCAGTGAGTAAAATTAAAATTAAAAAGTTTCATCAATAATTTGTAATATTAATAGAAACATCTAAACTTTCTTTTCATTACAGAGGTCTTCGCACTCTTTCCTATAACGTAGATTCAAAGGGGGTGCTAAATACACGGCTTCAGTTGAAGATTTCGACAGACAGTAAACAGGGCACGTTTGATTATGTACGACAAACTTAGGCTATTTTCCTGAGATAATATAGGTATATGCAGTCTATCATAAATTAAAAAAAGGTTTTCCAGATTTGCGCAATTTGTTGTATTTCCCATTCTGACAAATAAGAAGAAGAGAAGGTTTAAATGTGATAAAACATACTTCGAAAACATTACTTCAAGGGAAGGGACCCTTACTCACAAATAAGCATTTAAATCAGGGGACAGGTGATATAATATTTCGTATTAGAGAGTTGCCAACGAAATCAAGTGCCTTTAAACCAGTAAAAATTTGGTTACTAACGACCATTGAACTTCCGCGAATTAAAATAATTCCTCAGAAACCGTAATCTGTCACAAAGTATATACGTATCTATTAGATGTTTTCATTGTTGCAAATTATCAGATGAAGACTCCTTTTCTGATAAATTACTCCCTGAAATACTAATTGGCGTCGATTTTTTCAAGTGAAAACATTCCCCGGGGATTTCGGAGTATTTGAATGGCAGTCTAGCTCAGGAAACGGTTCAGAACGATTAATTGTTTAACATTCCGTCAGGGAAATTTGACTCGTGTAATGATCTATAAGTTCTGACATTATTATTTGTTAATGCTGTGACATTTTTACTTGGGGGCGTATATGCGTCTTTCGTGGTAAATAGTTGACTCTATCACAGACTGTTGTTGAAGGTCTTTACTAGACTCGGTAAACAGAGAAGTACATGTATTACTCGGTACCAAATGTTTGTCTGTTTTGCGTGTATAGTGGAGCTTCTCTTAATCCATCTTACTCCCACCTTTTAGTCGAGCTCGGCGTGGATTGTGGATCAGTATTCCCCATTCAAACATTGAGTACTTTTAAAATCTCAGCTAGAGCTTTTAGGTTTTTGAAATTTTTTTGAGACATTGCAAGATAATTGAGTATGTTGCTGTTCTTTGTCATTTGAATCTACATGCATATAGCTGTTAAGGCATTACTTAAGTTTATTGAGGTCTTTAATAACCATTGGTTTAGAACTAATTTTTCCAATACATATTCTCAAATTCAATAGTTTTTTGTGTCTGCGGAATAAGAATGAATTTCATCTTATTGCCCCTAAGCTAATGAACAGTGATCTATCTAAAAATATATTTAAAGTAAACAAAAGAAATTTTCAACCATCCCTGAAAATCCCAGAGTTGGAATCAGGTGCCCGGGAGGAGTGAGCATCCCCTGCCGTATGAAGCACTATATTGTTCTATGAAGCACTATTATTTTGCCACAACTTTGTTCCTGATTATTTTTCTCAAATCACGTGGAATTTTCCATTTTCAAATGTAAACAAAAACGACTGGAATATCAGGTTCTGAGAGAAATGCATTAAAACTTTCAGTTGATGATTCAGAAGAAACTATCAAAAGAAACTGGTGGTTTTAAAGATAAGAATCTCAGTTTTCTACGGGTTTTCTTTTGAATTAATCTTGCTGTAGTTTTTAGCGGTCATCTAATGTGTGTCTTTTGTGTTGCTTCTCATCCACTAGTGCATTCAGTAGTAAATCTAATGTGTTATGAATGACATAATTCATCTTGTTATTAAGTTGAAGAGGATCGTGTTAAATATTAGTGTCCCATTAAATGCACTTCAGCAAGTAATTCTTGCACCCAGGAGCTGGGTTTCTTGAGAACTGTACATACTTGTGCAGATTCCAAAGTTCCAGCTGTCTTAGTTCTGATAGATTTTTTTCAGTGACAACAGACATTATGTCACACCCTGTGTAACGATTTTCTCCTGTGTTTGGAGAGGCAGTGTTATCTAATTCGTTAAGAGTCTGTTTCAGCTTTGCTGTGTTTCTCACAGGAGCCATTTTATCATTAGTCATTTAACAGACAAACATAGAAATTTTTCATGACGGCGTTTCATAACAGTGGTATTAATAATTCACAAGTCTTGATTGTTCACGTTGAAGGTGGCGAATTGTAACAACACATAAAAACTGGCTCTTGTTTGATTTCTCGGTGTAAATCTATCGATTAACGAGAGACGAGTTATAATCAGGATAATTTAATATGTTAAAAGAAGCGGCTTCACTGGTCTCGAACATATTTATTGTATTACGGAATCTCCGTCAACTTAACGCTTTACGTACCGCGCCACATGAACAAGTCAATACGATAAATTGTTAACTCAAATTAAAAAAAAGACATTTTTAATTTCTAAAATCATATCTATAATTTGAGCTGATGAACATTTTATGATTTGATCACCCTTACGTATGAATTAAAAAATAGGTATACTGCTTGAAGCAAAGTGAGTAGATATTTACAATATACTCAGTAAACTGAAGGATAATTCCTTTTTTTTTTCTTTTTCTCCTAGGTTTCGACACTGGATTCAGCTCAGTTTTTGAATTTGTAAACATCAGAGATCTATCCCAGATTCAGAAATGTCTACAACAAGAAAAATTCGAAATGGTGTAAGAAAGCGCCCATATGACTCTGACGTTTAACGCGCAATGTTTGTGCCTCGTGCGCATGTCCACCTCAGTAATCCTGATTCTAAGAGATTATGGTTTTCCCGTCGACCATCAAGACGAAACGTAATACAACGAAAATTGAAATGGTACGAATGTGTGCGCATGCCCTGTTTGATGCCTACCCTTGTGGGAACAGCGATAGGAGTTCTGATTTTAATCAGTGGGACTCTCATGAGTTTTATTGGATATAACCCCAGAGCGTTTCTAGGGATACCTGAGGAGGACCACACCAATCGCTTCAGAAGTAACGTGACTGACACAACCGCCGTGTCTGTTGAGGGGTTAAAGGTCTTAGCGTACGTAGGCCCAGTGTTTATGGGTGTGGGGTTCTTTGTCATGATTATCGCCGTTGTATTGTATTGTGAAATCAAAGAAAAGTACGTGTGTAACATTCTACCTCAGCAGAACGTCAATGTCAAACAGGTCCAGAAAGATGTCCTGTACGACATGATCATTGACGAATTCAGGAAGAATTACTTCAGAGGAATTCAAGTTCCGATCCAGAAACGAACGAAAAGGCAAAAGTCGGTGGAAGAACGATACCCGACTTTGTTCAAAGCTCTCAGCATCAGTACACCTGCACTAATCATCACACCTGAAATTCAGCGGAAGTGGAAGAACAGCTGTGAAGCGTCACCGAACCCGAGTCGATCAAGAAGGAAGAAATATATCTACGACACTTGGTTAAAGACTTCGTCTTTGCCAAATATTCGCGCGCGCGCTGGACAACGACAAGCGTTACGCAACGAAAGACGCGTTCATAGACGGGCGGTTTTTCAGGATCGTCTTTCCAAGAGTTGTGATCACCATGACATGCAGAGTAAATCTGTGGACACGGACAAAGATGATCGGGGATCGTGTTTTGATAACCCTGCTTATAGGACTTCTCCTCCGCAGGAGAAATTGCCCCCACAAATTCAGGTAAGTCCTCCCTCGACCCCTGATACTTTGGAAGTTGATCTCACTAACATCTCGGTTCAAGTGGATTATCACGAGATTCCAAACGGAAAAATTATTCATTCTGTATCGTGTAATACAACAGACGACAGTTGTCGAACGTTCTCAAGCGGTCACATTTCATCCTCGAGAAGTTTTACAAGCGACCTCTCGCGGTCAGATACGCGGGGGCTCACAATGAAGAGGAGGCTGTACCCACAAAGCTGCATTGATCTCTGTGACGAGGAAAGCAGCGATAAGCATGTGCTGGTGACGCTGGACAACGTGACCGCTCAGAAGAATCTCCAATGCCAAACTCAGCTCAGAAGTGGAAAAAGGGGCATGTTTATCCGAAACAGTAAACCCGGGCCGTATAAAACTCTGATAGGGGTCTTTAGGAGCGAGTCGTGTTTAGACCGCATTAAAAAATTCACCAAGCCAAACAGCGACAAAGACAACGATTCATTAGATTCATTCACGTTGACCGAGGATGTCCTAAAAAACTTTGAAATGGCCGAGCTGTCTTAGCCAGAATTTCCTCGAACCGTTTTAGACCGAGAGCCACAATACTCCTGCTCGTCCCTTTATAAGTATAGTGTTATCATCGCACAAGAGAAAATCGAGTCTCAGTTCTAGTTTTGTTACTTGCTTTACATTTTATGCAATAAGGCAGAAATCAACGATTACCAACGCCGTTTCCATGATAACCGATTCAATAGATAACGAGCGGTGTTCTAGTATTACATTATATACCCAGGGAAATGGAAAAATGTACTTCACATATTATGATAAGGAAATGGCGGCGAAGAATCTTATTTTGGCTTTATATTGTTGTGTTTTACGTTATTGGTTGCAAAATATTCTACAGACCCACTTTGCAAAACCAAGAAATTTAAAGAATATTTAGCGTGTTATCTTATATGTATACATTTTGATTATTGTATTTTATTAGTTAATCAATTAATGAGAGTTTTGGATGTTAACGTTAGTCAGTTTGTGTGTGGTGTAAAATTTTATATTTTTATTGAGTGGTAAAATTTTCATCCTGAGACTGAAACTTTCAACATCATTTAATATATGTAAATGTGAGCTATACCAGCTAAACACTAGAAATTATTTTTTTTTTTTAGAAAAAATTAACCTTATGACCGAATATGGCGTTAAATATGCTAAAAGTATCACATCATCTGATCTAAAGGTTCAATGGAGTACCAGTGATAAAGTTTGCAGAAATGTGAGCGCAATATATAAAAACAGGGTTGTGACGTAATGTAAAAGGGTACACTTCCCTGGAATTGATAATATTCATAATATACAGAAGAAAAAGCACTCAATGAGAAGCATAGAATGCGTGCATGTCTGATGCAAAGGTCCCGTGTAAATTAATCAAGCATTGGTTAATGAGACTGTATAAGAAAGCAATCCCGTCCATTTTATTCTCTTAATCAAATAGCTTTACAATTATTCCTGTACTTTCGATCTGCATACGCAGTTTTAATTCTGAAATGTAGTCATCCAATAAGAAGTACCCAATCCTTGCTGTGTATTTTCGATTGAGTTGAAAATCTATATATAGAATCTAATTATATTACTTAATACTTTTTAAAAAAACGTTTTATCTCTTTATTGTTCGAGTCAAAAAGTACTTTTCTATTTACTTATTATAAAATATGTATTAATATTTTCATTATTCCATTATTGAGACATTACTAGTATCTTTTTGTATTAAATATATGTCGTTGTTTAAGGAAGGCCCACACTTTTACGGATCAGGTTCTAATTTTACACATCAATATAAAATTCTGATTTGCACTTTTCTATTGATATAAATCTTTTTGGGTGATTGAAAATGATTTAGCAAGTATATATTTGTTTATTATAGTGTTATTGTGCATATGAAGCATTTAATATACATTATTTAGGAAATTAACACTTTACACTCTGTCCATAAGATCTATTTGTCATTTAGTACACACACAAACACAAAATTCTTAATTGCTTTTAAAGCAAACTAACCTGAGATTTATTTTTATTGATTTAGAGCCTATATCATCCATTTAATTTTTACTTTTTAAAAATTTTGCATTGAATGATTGAAAAAATTGATATTCCAAAAATGGGGGTTTATGTCTTCACTGTTTTGAAAATTCTCTGGTAATATAAAGTAGCTGTTTTTGTTAAAATTAGATATAATTCTTAATAGTTTTAAAGAAAAAATGGCACTAAACATTTTGATTTTTGAGAAGTATAAAAAATAAAGATATTTTGAGATTTTTTTCTGAAAGACATGTTCAACACCAATTTGTTAATGTTTTGCAAAAGATTTCAAATATTCTCTTCTCAAATATATATTTTTGATCTTCATAAGTTTTAACATAAATTTGATGTGATTTGGTGCATAATTGAGAGAAATATGATATCACACTTTTCTATGTTCAATTTTGGCTGTTGAGTTTTTAGAGGTATGTGCGCTGAGACATGCTGTATGAAAATTAACCTGCAAAGATATATGTCTTTTATTTTTTACTCTGTTAATCAAATTGAAAAATTATCTTTACAATTATTCCTTAAATGTTTTAGGGCAAAGTATTATTTTTCATAAGTGCATTGTACCCACTGCATATATATATATTTGCATATCGATTGCTCTCTCCCAATGAACATGTAGTCATCAACTGCGTTCATAGGACTATAGATGCAACTGCTATGAGTGCAATTGCTCTAAACCAATCGTGTCTAGAAGTATATATATGCATGTGTATTTTTGAATATTCTGAAAAAAAGAAATTCAGAAAATTAAAATGGCTATATATTTAAAAATTTAATTTTGGTCAGATATATTTAATTATATAAAACTGTTTAAAAATTGTAGAAAACTTATATTTATTTTTTGTATCTTGTTTGTTCAAAAAAAACTCTTCACACTTGTTTTATCTCTTCAAGAATAATTTCAGCTATTAAAAATAAATAGAAGAACTTATAAAAAAAAAATAGAAAAGCATTCTGAAGTAATAATCATTATAAAAGCATACATTTTTCATCATACAAAATTGTTGATTTTTGTTAATATTTTCATTATTCAAAACAAAAATTATTGAGACATTACTAGTATATTTTTTGTATTAAATATATGTTGTTGTTTAAATGTAGGGCAAAGTATTATTTTCATAAGTGCGTTAATTGTACCCACGACTGCTTGTTTACGATATTTATAGATATTTATCACGAAAATTATCAGATACTTGTACACTGTACTTGGAACGAATTAAAACAAAAAATACCGACTATGTATTATAAAACTAAGAATCATATTAACATTCTCTTTTTTTAGACTTAAGCTTATGAAAGATAATTAGTCAAAAGCTATTTCTTCACACGCTCATTAATCAGCAAGATCGATGTAAATTAATCGTGTGTTATTTCAGTTACAAACTTTCTACTATTTGAATGAATTAAGTTCTCGTTTTTTTCGTAAAACCTTTTTGAAATATAATTTATTCCAGATCACTTTTGTTTGGAACCTTTTGTTGTATAACAAAGATATATGTAGTTGGTTCACAAATAAATATGTTGTCATTGTCTTTTATCTCACTGCTTCGGTTTTTATTTGTCCATTATAATTAAATTTATGTAATTGTATTAAGTTTATGATCTGAAAGTGGCCCCTTGTCATTTGCTTTATTTGACGGATTTTTTTTTCGATAATCTTAACTTTCTTTAGATATTGTAATGTGTATACATGTTCTACTTTAAAAATGTTATTTGCATTTTAGTTTTAATGTTTCAGTCAACTAATTTCAGTATATTATGTGTTTTATTGTATTTGCTTTATAGCCCAGTTAAGTGTGTTGTGTCACGTGACGTACTATACATTTGAAGCACAACCTAATCACTCGCTATTTGATACAACTATTTGTTCTCAAATGTTACCATTGTAATTTTTTTTTTACTCTTTTATTTTTATTTATTTACTTTTTTGAGAAATAAAAAATGTCAAGTTTGTTTCTATCTTATTCACTTTTCTTAAATTCACACAAAACCGGAAGTTGGTGCTCAAAATGGAGGATCTTAACCCAATCAAAACTAATCTCCACAGTATATGGGAGTTTTTGAAATCGACCCTTTTTTCTAATCCTTTTCCTAAATGTGTACACACTCGATATAGAATGTGCACTTTGGCGGCGCTTTTTAATCTAATTGTTTGCCTTAACTTTAAAAACCTAATGAAAGTAAACAAATCTTCTTTGTAGTTGTAATTCTGCTAACTAATTTTACTAATTGTCGATAAATCAATCAATGTATTCAGTGTTGTTCTAAGTTTTGTTTAAATAGAAAATCGAATTCAACAGAAAAACTTTTCAACCTGCTCCATACGTCAAAAATAACTTTTTGTTTATACGTCATTTGAATAGATGCTTACTTTGTCGTGACCAACCCCATTAAATATATTCGATATGTGCGAACATTGTTTTCATTTCTGGCCTTTTATGCCAACAATCAATTGACTGAAAAGGGAGATTTGTGTTAACAGCACAAAGGCTACTACTAGTAGTACTGTTTACTATCAAGAGAATTACAATTCTTTGCCCCTTCCTCGGGTCAAACTAGGAAATGACTAGAAATTAAGTCACAAAAACAAAGGAAAGGGAAGAACAAAGTAGTTCTACGATTAAAATACTAAACCCTATAGCTATTTAATAATTTTACATGTTTAATTTAAAAATAGAAGAAGAAAAATGATCTGAAATAATTTTGGACTTTTGTTCACGTACTAAATTGTCTACGGAGATTTTCTATATGCCCGACAATGACAAGGAGCATACGGCGGGTGTAACCGGTCGGCATGAGATGCTCACTCCTTCATGGCACATAATCCCATCTCTGATGTTTAAGAGGTTTATGTTTGCATTCTCCCGGTTTGTATTGTTTCAATGGACTTTTAAATGGACATGGTGCAGATTCAGCTAAAAAAATTCCATTTTACAAATAGTTAACTAAAGTGTTTCTAACGATCATCAAAAATTGAATTTTAGTTGTCAAGATAAACGACTGATTTAGAGCTCCAAACATATGTGTAGCGATCTATGTGAGCGAATCAAAGGATCAGATTGTTAGTAACCATGGCAACAACATTCATCAAAATAAAAACACAACGGAATAAATTATGTATGTTAGAATAGTTAACTTGTATGCCAAGCTACACTAAAATCATTTTAAATCCGTAGATAGAGTAGCATTTCAATGGAGTTTCGCAGAAATTTTTTTTAGTTACCGTGGCAACACTGTTTATCAAAATCAAAAGTCAGTATCCTAACTTTTGCATCTTAATGTTATGTACCGTGTTTGTGTGCCCCGTTATATTGAAATCAGACCAAAACTGTTTGAGGAATGGCATTTTAAAGAATTTTCACAGAAATCTCTATTTTTAGTAACCATGGCAACACTGTTTATCAAAATTAAAAAAAAAACAGTGCATTAAATTTTGTATCTAAGTATAGTCTACTTATTTGCCAAATAATTATAAAAGCTAACTAAAGCTATGGGAAGAATGGCATTTTAAAGAAATTTCACAGAAACTATTTAGTAGCCATTTAAATGTAACTGTTTAGCAACAGCGTTCATCAAAATCAAAAACCAATGCACTAAATTAAATACATGTATCATTGTGTAGTCTACTTTTGTGCCAAGTTACAACTGTATATTGAAATCGGACCAAAAAAGTAGGAGTAGTTATTTGAAAAAACTGTTTACAGACAGACAGGCAGACAGACTGACTGATCTCTGGTAAAGCCAAAATCAGTAGCAGAAAATGTGCAGACTTTTCAATACTTTTGAACACCATTCCCTTCTACAAATAAGGTTCAGACTTTTAAGTTGTTATGTCCTTGAACTCGACATTTAGATAGATCAAGCAAATTTTTCATGTAAAATTAAATACTAGTAAGAGCTAATATTGGCCTTTCAATGCTGTAACCATAATTATACATGAAACTTAATAGGTATGTCTTAAAGATCTTTGAAATTAGATTTTGGTGTGACATTCC